AAAAAAAAAAAAAAAAATAGTCCTTTGCTGGTCCCGTGTGGCTCCTTATACTTAACATCCCATTTCTTGACATTTTATTGCCAAAATACTCTCTGCTTTCATTTTCTCCCCATTGATTCCTCCCTAACCGCACCCCCCAACTGTTCTCTCAAAGTCATCAATCACTTCCTTCTAGCAAAATCCAATGGCTTCCTCTTGTTGCTCACACCACTTGCCCTGTGAAGCTTCTGCGGTACTCAGCATACTGACCACTGTCAAGCTATCAAATGCTCCTCCTGGAATTTCCATGACACCACACTCCCCCAGTTCTTCCCTACCGTCCTCTTCATCATTTTTTTTTTTTTCTGGCACTGATTCCTCCTCCCTACACCCAAGAGGTTTATCCCAAAGGTGTGAATGACTAATAGTTAGACTCACTGCATTAACCTTCCCTGGGGTATCTGCATTTGAAATGAGATTGCTTATTAACCCAGAGTCATGAATCTCTGCCAGAGATGTGTCAGAGAGCATAGGAAGATGTTTGGGCAGAGGGATGACAACTCTAACACCCCATAAATCATACCAAGTGACATAATCAACCTTTTCCCCCTACCCTGGCCCCTTCCTAAAAGAAATAATCCATCTTCAGCTTTCTGTGTTTCTCTGAATATTTCCTTCCTTGGAAGAGGCACATCTGTCAGGGACATCTAAATCTCTGCCTTTCACTCTGATTTGTCACCTACATCTCCATAGTACTTTAACAGCTGCCCCACAGGACACCTCCACCTAGATACCTACAGTCACTGGAATGTTAAAAGGTTTTAAGTTACATTCATTACCTCTCCTAGCCCATGGGCTGTGACTTCTGCTGACCTTCCCTTCTAAAGGTATCTCAGATTTGCCCCTTCTGCTCCATTCCCTCTGTCACCACCTTGATCCAGGGGGTGCTCCTGACTTTCTATCCCTGCGGGCCTTTCTGTTTCTAGCCCCATCCCTGTCTAGTTCCCCTGTCATATAAGGTTTCAGATAGTGTCAAGCACCCCTTCCCCTTCCTTATGTTTTCCTACGGCTCCAGACTCCTCCATTGTGTCCTACCACCTGCAGCATCCATCTGAACTACTCTTGCCTCACGTCCAAGGTCTTGCATGACCTAACTCTGCCTGACTCAATCAACCCTTTCTTTCACTCTGCCCAACATGCTTCTTTCACTCCCTGGTTTTCTTACTGTTCTGTACGTCTCTATCTTCTCCTGAGCCAAGAATGACCTCTACCTTATGGGCTGCCTGCCTTGCCTTTTCATGCCTCCCCTCCTCCAGTCCTAGTTCTATAAGGTCTTCTTGATCTCGCCCTTCTCTGAATTTCTGAGGACTCTACTTTAGATTCCAAAATCAGACACTATTTGGTATGTTTTCTAGCTGCAACATGTGTTTTAATCTGTTTTTCAATGAGTTCTTTGAAAGCAGGGATCATTGCTTGTTCTTTCCTCTGGTTTCCCATGGCACCTAGCAGAGTGTTAAGCAAAGAATACATACTCAATTTTGATTCAAATGTTTTAGCATTTGACCTTGATGGAAGAATAAAGGAAGAAAAATGTGAAAGATGGAAGAAAGAATGCTGAGATTTGAAATACCTTACCTCACATGTTCCATACTGCACCATTACTTGTGACATAAAAACCACGTTGCCCAAGGTTTTAATATCCTCCCCTTCCCATGCCTGGATAGGTTCTGAAAGTATCTGCAACTCCAGCTGTTTTCTCTTTCTCAGATCTTGGCACTGACCCTACAGAACCAAAGCAGAATGGAACAGAAATTCTTATGAAACAGACTGAAGACGAGATCAAAGTAAGATGTGGCTTCTGGTTCTTGGATTCCCGTTGAGTCTCTATTCCTCTCCATGAATCCAACAACCAGATATATTCCTGACAGACAGAAAGATCCACTTCCCTAAATCTCTAGCGGTGACCTCCCAAAAGTTTTGTGAGAAAGGGCAACCTTTTACTTTGCCAAGGCAGCAAAAGCAAAGTGCCAGAGGGGGCTTATTTATTCCTCCTGGTAAAGAGTATGGGAAGGCAAGTAACCAAATCACATGAGTCAGAGCCAAAAGAAGACCCAGGAGCTTCAGATGTGCAGGGAAGTTGCCCTGCTCCAGCTCCTCTCCACCTTGTCTATTTTTGCATCAACATGACTTTAGTTACAAAGCAATTAGATTTTGCTAACATATTCTCAGTTTCCAACTAGGTATAATAACACCCTGAAAATAAGATAAAATTCAAAAACAGGACTCCAGGAGTAACAGAAAAAAGAGAAAACTAAATTCTTTATGCCTCAGCAAATCACATTCATCTTCTAATGAATCCTAGGCACTGCTGTAGTTGGTTTATGGACCACACTAGAAAAAAAAATTAATTCATTTTAATGGTTTCGAAAAAGACAAGAAATTAATTTCTATTCATTATTTTAAAAATCGAAAAATGTGAAAAAATCATAAATTACTTATTATTCCTAAAAGGATTGGAAAAAAAACAACTGAATTTCATGGTGACAAACTAAAAATTCAAACCAGGAAATAATTTACAGTTTGCCGACACTATGTAGGGGGCAAGTGCTATAAATATATTTTTTAATCAGTGTTTCAGAAAGTGTGAGGTTATCTTAGAGTAAGTTAAGAGCATGCATTCCAAATTAAGTGCAGAAATAAGCGCATGGCTAGTTAAGTTATTATTTCCAAACGAATGTAATGTAATAGTGTTGCAGGGTGTGTCGTCTATAACAATAATCTTTGCTGCCCTTTCAGCTAAATGGAGACTTGAAAAATAAATTCACTGTACGCACATTTTGGAAGCACCTACAGTTCGAATAAGTATATTACAACCATCAAAGCAAGTTTTACAACATAATCAGAAAGGAATGTGGGTTCTTCAAAAAAGAGGTATTTTACATTCCCATTTATGTAAGAAAAAATAAGAGAGTTATAAATTATAATAAATGCATGGGTTTCAGCTGCCCTATTAGTTTGAACCATGTAATACCGTCAATATTTGGACTGTTTTGACCTACAATCACAGCAGTTTTAACCTAATACTTTGGTCTTCAATCTGCTGTTTGCCCGTGGACACATCACTTTCTGATCTTTCAACAGCAATAAAAATGAGGTGATGGTATATGTTGCATCGAGGATCAATAACTATATCCATCTAAAGCACTTAGAATGCTACAGAAATAGCTGAAATGAAGCTAAACTGAATCCATCACCCCAAATCAAATTTTCGTTCCTTCTAAAATGGCACCAAGTGGTTTCACGAAGACACATTAACCACCATGTTGAAGACACAAGATTACAGGTACCTTTGATAGCAACCCAGATAAAGCAATTTATTTTAGTACTTTGGTTTTTTTTTTTTCCTTTTCGACTTGATGAAGGATTTCTTCTTAATACGCAAAGAACAAACTCATACCTTTCGACATAAATACTTGAATCCAGCATTGATGCCAATCAGTGAATGTCAGATGAGACAGACATAAGGTGAGCAATGGGGGTGAAGACAAAGGGAGGAAAGGAAAGCCCCCACCTACACACCCATGCTTAATGTGGCCGAGACTGTAAATGGGATTGCTTTATACCCTCAGCCTGGCAACCTTTCATAAGTAAGCATTATTTTTGGAGCACAAAATTAAATAAAACAATCACTGCAATATTGTCATGAAAGCTTATTGTTTCCATTCTAAAGACATTTGTGCAAGGAAAGAGAAGTTACACACAAATCACTCTTTCAGGAACAAAGCATACAAAATGGAGAATTACAATTTTAAAGCATCACCTACCATCAGAGTTTTGAATGCTATGATTGCTTTCAGAATATCTGGATGATCCGGATGAGTGTCCTATCAAAGGAATACATTCAAAAACAGTATTAGTAAGGAATGAATCATTGGTTGCCAGTTTGGGGACAAGGAAGGCGTGGCCACAAAGACACAGCAGGAGAGAATTTCTTGGGGTGATGGAACTGTTCTATATCCTGATTAGTGGTGCTGGTAACACAAAATAATATCTATGCTAAAATTCATAGAACTGCGCACCAGAAAAAAGTCAATTTTCCTGTATGCTAATTTTACAATTAGAAACTGGAACAGCAGTTGAGCATTTGGAATCTCAGCACCTCCACTTATTGGGTGACTATGAAATTAAGACAGTTGATCACATATGCTATCTTTAGTAACACAGCAAATGTGATTATTGAGACAAGAGTTCCCATTTCCTTCCCTTTTTCCTATTATACTTCAGATAACATTTAATAATAAATATAGCAACTAAATAATTATTTCTGGGACATCATTAGGTCATGTTGTTGGTAGATGACAGGAGGTAGGCAATTGTGGAAATAGAGTGGCAGTTAGAGAAGAGTCAATCTAATCTCTTTTCCTAAAATGCCTGCATTTTCTTTCAGTATCAACATGGCAGGTGGGAAACAAATTCCAAATTTCATGCCATGTGTTCCTTCTTAAGTAAGCCTTTTACACATAGTCTGCAGTTCCATGGTACTTGCAAACTTCAAAAGTGGACAGGTTACAAAATGGCTATGAGGAATCCACAACTCCATAACTGTTTACTAAGGGAAGACAAAGATTCCTGGGGGGTAGATTTGGACCTAACATTGAGGCATAAGGGGTATCGAGGGGATATGTACTCCTAACCCTTGGAACTCAGCTAGACTAATGGGAAGACCACATCTCCTGCTCAAATAGTCTCAGGTGACAACATAGAAAGGTGAACAAATTAGGCGTCTGACCCAAGCCAAGGATGGCATTGCTTATGAAAAGTAAGGTTATATTCCTTCGTAGGAAGATTTATCTTTACCAAAATCAGCTGATAACTGAGACTTCCAGGTTCTATTCTACTGTCAGCCAGAAACTGTGACACATGATAAGAAATGGGGAGAAAGTGTCTCATGCAGTGCTAACTAGTACCAAGAGTGTCTATCATCTGCTGGTGGGAAGTGAAGGGCAGCCAAAGACCCATGGCCAACAGCAGATGAAGGCAGGAGTGGAGAATCAGAATTAGACATTTATAAGACACAGTTCACAAAATATTAATACTTTTTTTTTCATCATATTGCTGCCTCAGGCTCCCCTACAGGGAAGGCGGAGGTAGAGGTGCTCCAGGCAGCAGGAACATGCGGGATTTTTTTCCTCCTACAAACGTATATATTTGTACTTCAGCACTGAGCAGTAACAGAAACTGAGGCCAGTAGTTTCCGGATTTTTGTGATAAGCAAAGAGGAGGTAAACCTCAAACGGTTCAGCCAACTGGGTTAGCTTATGGAAAGGCATCCAGAGGTCAACACCTTCCCAAAGCCTAACTGAAATTTCATTCTGGCAGGCTTTACTCACCAGGTCCCCCCTGCCTTCAGCTTTTAGGCAGGTCAAATACCCTGAGAATGTGGTTTCGCTCACAGTACATGCTTTCAATCCTTACAAATGCTGACGAGCCCTGTAGAATGCACCCTATTTCTTTAAAGATAATCAAACCCTTTAAAACCTCAAAACCTTTCCCCAGACACAGGAAGAACAACTAGGGTAAATGCAGCCTCCCCCGACAGGCCCTTCTCTCCCACCCACACTCAATCCCCCCTGCATTATCAAGAAAAGAACAGTTCAAGGAGCTAGTCCTGCTTATTGGTTTTGAATAACAAGAGGATTGGGGCTCTTGATGAGAAAATATTCAATTATCAAGCCTCGTTGCAGAATCTTAATATTTAGAAAACATTACAGCTATGCTACAGCTGTTGCAAGTAAAGTGTAATTGGAGAAGCAAAATGAGAGGGGACAATGCAGATGCATTGATGCTTAGACAGATATCACTAATATTGACCTCGTGGGGACTCTAATATTGACCTCTTTTGGGACTGCAAGAATCTTCCATTTTAATCCAGAGTCAGAGAGCTGAATGATCACAGAGTCGTATTGATAAATATTCCTGCCTATAATGAACGTGTTGTTTTTTCTGATGTTGGTTTGCTTTATTGCCCACAGTGAAGTTGGTTAATATACCAGAACAACAGAAGATTTCTTGGTCTGATTTTGACTGAACCAGCATCTACAGATGAGAGGGCCAGTGAAAACTCAAGTCAACAAGGAACCACAGACTTGAGGGAGGCAACAGGACCAGGACTTGGAAGAGAAGAGAGGGGAAGGAGAATGATCATGAGTGTTTGGCAGGAAAGAACGAGAACTTATTTTGCTTCATTAAGAAGATAACTAGAAGCCTGAGAACAGGGAAGATCAGACACAATAAATTTTGAAGTCAAGACATTTTGCGATTCCTTTGCCAGGTTAGTTTGGAGGCAGGCTGGCTGCTTTCTCCAGAGCAGAGGTACGTACTTAGCACATGTGCTTCAGAAAGCTCACGTTCCCTTACCTCCATATGCCGTTCCAGCTCTTGCAAGAGAGTAACATACTTTTCCAGTCGCATGAATGGTTTGCTGAGGCTTGTTGTCAAAATGAGAATTCCTGGGCTAGAGGCACCTTGATTTTCCATAAATTTTTCCAGATCATCACTAGCAAAAGAATGAATACAGTTTTGTTACTGCTGAATATTCCATGTAAAGAATTACCATTATTTTGCTGTATCTCACATAGCATACAACCAAATGGAAACGTGTTTCAGTAGTCCAAATGCTGTTCAGTGCATTTCAACTCAATTCAGCCAGCCTTTATTCGTCTTCTCCTATGCAATCAGAACTGTACCCAGCACCAGGGCTCCAGAAGTGAGTCAGACACTGGTGATCCCTGGTATCATTTATTCACTCAACAATCACTGATTGAGCACCTACTAAGTGACGGGGATACAAAAGCAAACAAAAACTCCCCACCCTTAAGAGGCCTGCACCCATGGGCATGGGGTATGGAGCCTACCAGATGACTTCCTCCTCTTAAGCTTGAAAAAATAGATTTTTCTTAGTCATTTCAAACATTCTAGTTATTGGCTGGTCAGGTGCCAAGGGTGGCAACTCACCAAGTGCTCACTATCACCCACTCGTGATGTTCTAGAATCAAGTCCTACATTCAGGTGGCAGCATGTCTGTATGACTGACCACATAGTCACCCTAAACCAGAGCAGCAGATCACCCAAACCCTTCCACAAGGCAGCAATATGGTGGAAAAAATGTAGCATATTTTGTGAACTATATCCTATAAATGTCTAATTCTAAGCTGCCATTCAGCACCCTCCCAGACCGCCTCCTTTGCACCAACAAGGGTGTTGAATCCTGGAGGCTGGAAGATAATACTAACGTATATTTCAGCAAAATATTGTTCTTCTCAAAATATGCCTAACTGACAGCATATTTTGAAACTTTTGCTTGATCACCTCCTTGGTTGGCCACACTATCCAGTTGGTCACAGGTCTTCTTGAGTGATCTGTTTATTCCTTTCCATCATCTTCTTGATCTGTTTATTCCTTTCCACTCTCACTGGCACTGTCTAACTTCAGGCTTTCAGCTCATTCCCACCTGGCTCACCTCAAGAGACCAATGGCCTTCTGACTTGCAGGCTCCTTCTGGAACCTGAGACTACCACTTTAGTCCCACTGCTTTCCTGCTCAAGAACCTCTGAGTACCTGTGAGTCTTAACTTTTTAGACTACTACTGGCCCTACCAACCTTTCTGACCACTCACTCTCCAGAAGGATCCTCTACTGCACAGTGACCTACTTATTCTTTCTAGAACACATCCTATGCCGCGGTTCCTCCCAACTATGGTGTGCTGATTATGGGTTGTTAGTTGTGTTCAAAGAAACTTTTTATCAGTAACAAAAAAAATAGGGAGCTGGGACTGGACTGGATTACAAGTTATCTTTATTACTAATAGACATTCTCCCTCCTTGGGCTTTCGTAAGTGGCAGAGAAAAGGATGGTGTTTCAGCTAATGTACCACCAGCCTCGAGTCATATAGTGTCACACATATGTCAGAGGAAAAAGGGGCTGGGGGTGGAGGACTTAATCAAAGCTAGAGCACATCTGAGTGATCACAACAATTGCCACTAACCATTTTATCAGTTTTTGAAGTCTTTTTTTTTTATTTTTAAGAGACAGAGTCTCACTTTATTGCCCACACTAGAGTGCAGTGGCATCACAGCAACCGCCAGCTCTTGGGCTTAGGCGATTCTCTTGCCTCAGCCTCCCGAGTAGCTGGGACCACAGGTGCCCACCACAACATCAGGCTATTTTTTGTTGCAGTTTGGCCAGGGCCAGGTTTGAACCCTCCACCCTCCATATATGGAGCCAGTGCCCTACTCACTGAGCCACAGGCGCAGCCCGAGTTTTTGCAGTCTTATTCCGGAAGCAGTTTTGGGGAGGGAAGTGCCCTAGACTTGGGAGTCATGAAACAGATTTGGTGACCCTGGACAAATTGCCTGAGCATCAGCAGAGACATGTGTGAAAGAGAAATACAACCTATGTCTTAATAAAATTGTGAAGATTAAATATTGGGGTTTTATGGCCACTGTTTCATGCTAAGAATTTTACAAGCACTCATTCTTGTTTAATATTCAGAGTAATATTTCACCATAGGCATTCTCTCATTTTATAGATGAGAAACCTGAAGCTCAGGAAGGGTGAGTTAGCTAACAAATCGCTAAGGTGGGTTCATACCGAGGTCTGAGGCCAAAGCCTCGGGTCTTTCTTTCCCCCCTACCCCCCCCACAGTGTTTTTTTGGCCAGGGCTGGGTTTGAATCCACCACCTCTGGCGTATGGGGCCGGTGCCTTACTCCTTTGAGCCACAGGCCCTGCCCAGCCTCGGGTCTTTCCAATGGTAGCACACTGTCTCTCTAGAGGAAAGTATGGTATTTTGTAAAATTTGAAGTAGTCGATAAAACCATTTTATTACTTTTTATCATGATTATGCCAAGACAAATACTAACACCACATCTTTAAAAACTACCAGTACCTACCTGGGCTTTCCAACTTAATGGACATTAAATTGATGTTTAATCTTCAACCCAAGAGCATAAAGTGCATAAAGAGGTTTAAAAATTCATGGCATATAAAATATGATTAGGGAAATAACTAGGATTTGGAGAGTGCATTTGAGTAGAAATGTAATTTGGAGAAAATCGCTTTCCTAATTTCTTTTCAATTAGGTGAACAAGCCTTATTTTTTTTTTCCCATGACTAAATGACTGCCTGCATCCTTCATGTTCTACTCTAATTGATGCAAGAGTTATGACAATTAAAAGCAAATGTTAATGTGTACTTTGTTATTACTTTTCATGCAGCAAGCTAACTTCTGCGTTAGCTATGATTATGAAAAATTAAAAAGTTTTCAACATAACATGAAATCACTATCGTAGATGAAAATACTAGTTCTTGGGAGGAAAAGAAAATTTTACTACAGTGAAAAAAGAACAAAATTGTCCTATAAAGCCTATTACCTATGATAAAAGAGATTCTAAAAGACACATTTTACTTAGCCAAATAAATTTAATACATAAATATACACTGTTATGCAAAAGAACAATCTGTCGCTTAAATGTAGTTTTTATACAGTCTGTTCAAAATGGCAGTGGGCTAAGATTTACTTTTCAATCTTAACCTGTTCTGTATATGGGATGTGATACAATAGAAGCAGTTCTCAAAGTATAAATTTAAAATGCAACACATTTACTTCATAGAGTGCAGAGTGGATGGGTCTCTGGTGCACACTGGGTTGGGCTGGAAAAATGAAGAAAAAACTACGTACATTATAATAACACCGCAGAGCTTAACTATCTCATATAACAGTGCTTCTGGGGAATCTTTTATGGATTCCTAATTTGAATGTTCACAGCTCTACCTAGCAGAGGGAACCACATGGCCCAAAAGGAGAGGCCCGGACCTCTGGCTAGTGGAAAATCCCAGGGGTGCTACTCATATTGGATTGTATGGACCCCTGTTTTCCTTTTTACATTTATCCAGTTCCAGAGCTTTGACTGTCTGCTCCTACTGGTTTTTTGTTTTGTTTTTTTTTAATGAGACAATGTCTTGCTGTGTTTTCCAGGCTGGAGTGCAGTGGTGCAATCACAGCTCACTGCTGCCTCCAACTCCTGGGCTTAGGTCATCCTCCTGCCTCAGCCTCCCCAAATGCTGAGAGCACAGGCAGGAGCTACTGTGCCTGGCCTGTCTGCTCCTTTTTTATTCACTTCTGTTTGTGATCAGTCTCACTTGCTCTCTTCCCTGGCTTGTCAAAGACAGAAACAGAACAGAACCCAGAGTCAGAATCTTTCCTATGCTCCTTGTCCTGGAAGCAAGTTCTATTGGGGGTTCTCTCCAAGTCTTCACTGCTGGCAGCAATGGTGAACGGAGAGTGAAGAGAACTAGCAAGAGGGAAAGCACGCAGTGGTGGTTGGGGCAGGCGCCACGACAGAGGCAGAAGTGAGGTCCAAATCAGTCTTTGTGCAACTCCTCCTCTCCCTGCTCTCTGTGCAACGCTCTCCCTCATAAAAAGGGTGGATGCTTCACTGAAGCAAGTATGGGAAAGAAGTGGGTATTTTTGTAGGGCAGAGGTTATTCCCAGGAAGAAACAGGAGTGACTGCAGTAAACCAGCAGGGGACAGATAGGGGAAATCCCCAAAGCCCTCACCCAGGGGATAGCAAGAGACTGGGGCAGCCATTCAAATATATGTAAATATGGGCCACACCAAGGTTGGGGTCTGATACATTTCCAAATTCAGGCACTACATCACAGCATTTTTAACAAGGCACCTGCAGGCAATCTTCACGGTTTTAAGGCTTGGACGCTTTCTCATGGCCAATTGTCACGCGCATTTCTGGTGTGGTGTTGCCACCTCCAGGCCGAAAGGAAGAAGTTCATCTGAACGTCACAACTCCAGAGGCCAAGTACAGATACCTACCCATGTCCCTATTTCAGCTGAAACTTTCATGTAAAACAAATTTTAACCTGAAATTTCTGTGACTTTCATTCAACCAGGTTTTTCTTTTAATATGTCAGCATAAATGACTATGAAACGCACGTGACCTGCATGCTGAGATTATATTAATAACGTACATCTGGGCAAAACCTCACGTGTTTTAACTTGATTTTCATCCCTTCCACGTACATAAACCAGTTAGATAAAAGACTTCATTCTATGAGGACTCCAGCGACTCTGCCCTCACTTCAAGGGATATTATAAAATTCTCAAAAACACCACCAACCCAAATCAAGCGGACAAGCTATTATGAAAGCCCGGAAGTGGAGAATCTTCACATTAATTGCATAAGGAACTTGAAAAATCGTAGTGTTTGACTTAATTTTATTTTAAAACTCCTAACGCAGATAAATGCCGTCAGTAACAGTTTTACCAAACGGAGTTGCATACAACAGGAACTCTGTAAACATCACAGAAAGTCTGCCATTTGAGGTAAACCTGGTCTTTCCGGGACTCATGTAGAATTGCTGTCCTCATATCAAAAGGAACAATACATAAATAGCGAGCTAAGAGGAGGGGAGCTCATTGTATTCGCATTAAGGAATTTACCCTTATACACACAGGATGTTTATGCATCCATCAAAAGAAAAA